TATAGTCGTAATCCATCGACCTTCTTAACGTGTATGGGTGCGTGTCACAAAGAACAAAGACTAACTTCTTAATAAAAAATAAACTATTCACACAAGCGTCAACATCACTTGTAAAAAAAAATGAAAAATAAAAGAAATCACATGCCCATTATGGAACACATTTACAATCCTCGCATCATTATTTCTTGCTTACATATAGTGAAACCCAAAAGAAAGAAAAAGAAAAAGGGAAGAAAATAAACAAAAACACCAGCTAAAAGAAGAAAGAATGAAACTTACCGCATTGCACAATAGAGCGCGGTAACGCGATAATAGGAAAAACGCCAAATATGTCGATAACGCACAATGTGGCGAAGAGAAGCGACAGATCTGAGTTGACGTCTTTGAAAAGCAACGGCAGTCTCTCGCGATTCATGACGGGGAATAATTCACACTGTTCGGCATCGATGCACGCACCGCGAACCGGTTTTCTGTTTTGCGGTGATGAATACCGCACGGAACGTAACACGATACTCTATCGAACGCAAATGGCTTACCGAGACACGCGGCTAGAGCAACGAAGGAAGACCCACAATGCGTTTCCTCCTTCGGATTTATATACAGCCATGTGCCTCGCCTTATCGAATGAAATATGAACGTCTGGGATCTATGTTGGATATAAAATTCAATTATAAATAACACGAGTCTCGATACAGTATATGAGCCGGTGTACGATAGAAAAAATATTTCTTGATCAATATCGATCAGTTTTTTGTTCAAAACAAATTCGTTGATTAGAACTTTCATCGAGGAAACGATCCGTATCTGCTCGAGAATCTTGAATATTCGCATATTGACATCCTGTGGATATTATGATCGAACGTTAACGTTTTCTTCGTCGCCATTTCACATATTTTTCATACCTCATCAATTCAATACTCTCTTTTTCGATATACAAAAGGAAACGAAAATATCTTTAGACCTATTACCATTAGCAGGTGATCACGCGAGAATTATAAAAATCGTGCATTAATTTATACACTAAGTATATATTTACGAGGTTAGAAAATCGAGGGCTGAAAGTATAGTAGCGGTAATTATAACTTATCGTACTTATACCTAGTCCATAGTATGCGTTTAATAACAAATATCCGTACAGATACGCGTAATACTTCTTAGTCGTCTGTTTCGTAGGCTGGTGAGGCCGGGGAATACGTGGGACTTGTCGGCGAGTAACCAGGCACTGGCGGAGAGTACGTTGGGCTCGTTGGCGAGTAGCTTGGACTGGTCGGTGTGTATGTTGGACTGGTTGGAGAGTACTTCGTACTCGACGGCGAATATTGTGGACTCGTTGGCGAGTACGTTGGACTAGTAGGTGAATAATTTGGACTACTGGGTGAGTATCTTGTGCTACCTGACGCTGTGTGTTGGGGTGAACTGGGCGAGTACGATGGACTCGTTGGTGAGTAGGTTGGACTTGTTGGAGAGTACGTTGGACTCGCTGGAGTGTATTGTGGCGAGGTTCCAGCGAACGACGGCGATGTAGGCGAGTACGATGGACTCGTTGGTGAATATTTTGGACTACTTGGTGAGTAGCTTGGACTAGCTGGCGAATATTGTGGAGAACTTGGCGAGTAGCTTGGACTCGTTGGAGAATACGACGGTGAAGCTGGTGTGTAATTTGGTGAACTTGGCGAGTAGCTTGGACTCGTTGGAGAGTAACTTGGACTCGTTGGTGAGTAGCTTGGCGATGTTGAATAGCTCGGAGACGTTGGAGAATAACTTGGACTGGTTGGCGAGTAACTTGGACTGGTCGGAGAATAACTTGGACTCGTTGGTGAGTAGCTTGGACTCGTTGGTGAGTAACTTGGGCTCGTTGGTGAATAGCTTGGACTGGTTGGTGAGTAGCTTGGACTCGTTGGCGAGTAACTTGGTGACGTTGGTGAGTAGCTTGGACTCGTTGGTGAATAGCTTGGTGACGTTGGTGAGTAATTTGGACTCGTTGGTGAATAACTTGGACTCGTTGGTGAATAGTTTGGGCTGGTTGGTGAATAAGTAGGACTTGTAGGCGAATAGTTGGGGCTTGACGGTGTTATACTTGGTGACGTTGGTAGATAAGCAGGAGACGTAGGCGAGTAGCTTGGCGAAGCACCACCTGCTGGAGACATGGGGTATGGACTCATACTGGGTCCTGGACTTCCAGGACTTCCAGGTTGTGGTGAGTATGCAGAGTATGCTGGAGAAAGTCCTGAGGCATCTGATGCTCCTGATGGTGAGAAGCATGCTCCTCCGGGTGTCATACCACTGCCTAATGCTGTTAATAAAAATTAAAATTTGTTTGTTTAGAAATCGCCTTGATAAAGTGAAATATTCTCGATACTTAAAATGATAAAAAATGTTCGTACCAGGTGACATGCTCGAGGCGCCATAGCCAGGTGTAGCACCCATCCAAGGTGTCATTTGAGGGCTCATGCTCGGTGTGGCGACACTACCAAAGAACATTCCGGCAGTTCCCATTACTCCAGCACCCACTGCCATTGGTATTTCAATACCAGCTTTACATTTCTCGGCATCCAAAAGCAAATCGAAACATCCTGAAGAAATGAAATCAAATACACGTGTAGTTGGACAGATGATAATTTACAACCCATTTACTGTACTCAATTGTTAAATACCTGTTCCTATACGTGGAAGTTGACCCATGATAATGTTCTCAGATACTCCTCTCATCGGATCTACTTCAGCGTGAGACGCTGCGTCCAACAAAACGTCTACTGTTTCTTCGAAGGAACATCTACAATAAAATGCAAAATTATAAGACATAAAATACTTTAATAATCCAGATTTATTGCATCTTCTGTAATAATCAACCTCATAAGAGCACCAGTGTCCTGTCTGTTAATTCCGTGACGTGTAATAGCCATCAAATGTCCTTTGGCAGTCATTACGTCGCAAAGCAAAGCAAGATGACGATAGTTTACGTAAAGACCATAGAATTGCAATACGGCGTTCATTTCTTTCTCGACCGACTTTCTCACAGCCTCTATACCCAATACTTGGAATATCTCGCAAATGTCGTTACTGAATGTCCTAACAGGATCTACATCCCTTTCGCTCAACACTTTCATCAAACTTGTACCGTCCGTTTCCAATAACCACTCTGCTATTGCTTTGAACTCGCCAGTCTCTGTGATAACTATACGTTTCTTGGCATCTGTTTGAGGTAAATGCATGTACACTTTTCCTATAGCTTCAATACCCTGGAAAAAATAATGCAAATGATACTCATGTACGTTTTATATAACTTAATAGAATTAATGAAAACGTACCTGTAATGTCATGTCACTGAGCATATTTGCTTCGATACATCGAAGGAACATATCGTCCTCCATTTTGTCTACAGTCTCTTCCTCGCTGTCTTGGAACTTGTTATCGTCACTGTTCATTATCCTAATTCGCAGAACCAATTTCTCCGCGTTATCGTCATTGAAAATGCAGTTTAAATCGTCACCGAAACCAGCATTAATTTTTTCTGCGATTTGTTCCATAGTTAACTTCTTGTCAGTCATCCTCTTACGATCCAACTCTATACGAAGTAACCAGGGTGATATTTTAGTTGGATCAAAGTCAGGCATTTCATAATAGACGTTAACGAATTCTTGATCCTCTGCGATTACAGTATTTTGTGGATCTGGATCATAGTAGATCGCTGTGTTTGCTGTGACTTTTCTCACAAAGTACATTCTTCGCTTTCTCAGCATCTCTCGCAGCAGCTCCAGTCAAGAATACCGTCAACGACGGAGCCTTTGGTTTTTTACTGATATTTATAATTTCCTTTAATCTGGGTACACCAAGGGTTACGTTCTTCGATGATACACCAGCAAAGTGGAAAGTGTTCAGTGTCATCTGGGTTGCAGGTTCACCGAGTGACTGCGCAGCCAAAGCGCCTACCATTTCACCAGGAGATACCTAAATGAAAATAAGTTATGAAGAAAATGCGTGGAATAGTTTTAGATTCGAATTTTTTTATTTAAATTTGAATTTCTATAAACCTGTGCTTGTTGGAACCTAGTTTCAATTTCTCCAATAAGCCATTCAAAAGCTTCACTGGACAATCTGAATTCTTCAGAAACGCATTTCGTACATAAAGTAGATCTCACTAAGCATTGGAACAATAATGTGGCATTTTCATTAGCCTGTTTGCTAAGTCTATCATCACCAGCCACAATGATACATTTATCCAAAAGATCTTTCACTCCCTGTATAACTCTCATAGGGCTAAGATCTGTAGGTGCTCTCTTATTTATATGGAATATTTTCTGCACATTCCAAATCATTCTTTGCAGATTGCAAGGTAATACAACTTTCGATTCTCCACTGGGGAAGATCTCTCTTAGAACAGCACGGTCCTTGTTCAATTGTTCCCATTCTCTTTCCAGTTCAGATATTACTTCACCAGATCCCATCATTTCCCGAACGATATCTTCATTGAAAATGCGACGAAGATATCGTTCGTTGGTTGGATCGAATTTGAACTTCTTCTCAAATGATTTATTACTCAATTTAATAGTAGGTAGATTCTGGAACTCGACTGTTTCACCGCATAAACCGTCCTCACCGTAACGCAACTGAATAAGTTGTCCCACCGAGTTTCTGACCGTTCCGTCATAATGTACCATTACAGACTCCATAGCCTTTATCAGACGACGCTGAATGTATCCAGTTTCTGCAGTCTTTACAGCAGTATCGATAAGACCCTCACGACCTCCCATAGCGTGAAAATAAAATTCAGACGGAGTCAAACCGGCAAGATACGAGTTCTCGACGAATCCTCTGGACTCAGGACCGTAATCGTCTTTAATGAAATGTGGCAACGTTCTCTTGCGAAAACCGAATGGAATTCGTTTACCTTCTACGTTTTGTTGACCGACACAAGCAATAACTTGAGAGATATTAATGTTGGACCCCTTCGAACCTGATACTACCATAGCCTTTAAATTATTGTACTCAGTCAAAGATTTCTTGGCAGAGCCACCAGTCTTGTCACGAGCGTCGTTCAAAATTCTGTTTACTTGATTCTCGAAAGTCTGCCTCAATGTGTTACCAGGTGTGGGTTCCAACTCCATGTTGTGTGCTTTTTGAATAACCTCTATCACGTCCTCTTTGGCCTTCTTGATGGCTTTCTGAATCTCTAGGTAGGTCTGGGGATCAGCAATGGTATCTCCAATACCAATCGAGTGACCCTCAAGCAGTAACCAATTGTTGATCACAGTTTGAATGTTTCCGTAAAATCGTCCACAAACCTCGTGTCCCAACTCTAACATACAAATATGAAGCAAAGACCCAGCAGACGTACCCAAAGTCTTTTTACAAAGGATACCCATGACAAGTTCACCATGTTCTACCATTACTTTGGTGTCACCAGGAGAAATCCATTTATATGGACCATCATCCTCTTCATCAGGATGTGTACTGTGAGTTCTGATCATGTTCACATTGCCTGGTATAATTAGAGAGAAAATCTGTTTACCAGTCCATAGAGGCTTTGGTTTCAATATACATGGTTGAGGCATTTTACCATCCCAACTGGGCAAAAACATAAGGATGTTCATCATCTGCTCTTTTTCAATGAAAACGTCTCTCTTGGTCATCTTTCTTACAGCAGTAAGTGTGTCCTGTACAATACCCATAACTGGTTTGTTGGCCTGTGGTGTGATAATTTGACGTGGTGTTACGTGAATATTTTCTACTTCGGCACGAGTCTCCATCGACTGTGGTACGTGCAAATTCATTTCATCGCCGTCAAAATCGGCATTATACGGTGAGGTACAGCTAAGATTCATACGGAATGTACTCCATGGTAAAACTTTCACTCTGTGACCCATCATACTCATTTTGTGCAAAGTCGGTTGACGATTAAAAATTACTAGGTCACCATCTCGAATGTGACGCTCCACTCTATAACCACATTGTAGATGCAGATCGGACGGTTTTGGATGAAATCTTAAATCAATTCTCTCTCCATTGTCTCTGACGATATACTTAGCGCCTGGATATTGTGAATTTCCACGTCTGACTAGCTCTTGCATTTTATCAATATTGAAAGGCGTTACAATTTCAGGGAATGTTAAATTTTGAGCGATACTTCGAGGCACACCGACTTGATCGATTCGCAGGTTGGGATCGGGCGTAATTACAGTACGAGCAGAGAAGTCAACACGTTTTCCCATTAAATTTCCTCTTATTCTGCCTTCTTTCCCTTTCAGTCTAGCTTTTATAGCTTTTAGAGGTTTGCCTGATTTCTGCATCGCTCTTGGCATGCCAGGCATATCGTTATCGACCAGAGTTGCCACATGAAATTGCAACATTTTTATATTTTCTGATATCACGTGCGCCGCTGCTCCAGCTTGTTCATTCTTTATTAATTCATTATTCGCTTTTATAATGTCAGCAAGTTTGTGTGTTAAATCATCTTGATTTTTGGCAGAACCATACATAATAACAGCTGGCCTAACTGATAAGGGTGGAACAGGTAAGACTGTTACTACCATCCAATCTGGTCTGGCAAACTTTGGGTCCATACCAAGAATAAATGACTCTTCATCTGTAATATGCTTTAAAATTTCCCATGCCCTTTCTGCTGTGAGTGCCATTTTCTTCTCCTGTGAATCTTCATTCACATGTTTCCATTCTGCAGTAACATCTAAACCAGACCTTCGAAGATTGGGCTGATATCTACCACATCCACCATGTCCAGGTTTTCTTTCTGTAGGTTGTTGCTCTTGATTCTCTTTATTAATATCCATCTCATCACCACCCTCACAAATATTTTTACTTTTACATAAATCATAAACAAATGTGAGACGTTTACGTGGTTGACCTTTAGTTTTCATTACAATTTCTTTGATTTTTGGATTGTGCTGTGGTTAAGAAGATAATTCAAGATTAAGAGAACAACAAAAATGTAAAAAAAGATTTTGATAGTTGATACTCTCTACTTACTGGACTGACAAGAAGCTTTGAACAATAAAAACACACACATCTCAAGATTTTTATTGTTTTTGTTATAAAACCAACATGAAAAACTGGTTTTGCCAAATCTATGTGACCAAAGTGCCCTGGACATTCTGTCATATTACCAGCACATGTCTGACATCTAGAATTTCTATCAATGACACCTTGTCTTGGGTCCATAAGTCCACCAAGCTTTGGACGACCACCTTCCATAGTTTCTGGAAAGCGAATGCCGCCATCTGTGACTGACATCCGACGCTGTACAAAATATTATACAGAATTATACATAATTTATGAATTTATTATATGCAATAAACTAAAACAATAAAATTTTAACAAATCATACTAAATAATTATTTGAGGAAAATAATAGAAATGTATATGAGATATATGTATTAAAAATCTTTTAATATGGGAAAAATTTTCAGTTTTAATGTGCGTAAAACAAGTATGCATCACATGTTTATGCATGGGTGTATAATTATAAAAGGAACAGCAGGGCATCAAAAGTAATAATGAAATGCAACAATTACATGTTCACCACCATATTCCAATATTTTCTTTTATTGCCAAAACTATGTTAATTTTACAAAATATGTAACTTATGCCAAACGTGATTATTTTTATTTCTCACTAATAGTAAACTATGTACACTAATATTAAAAGGAGGATTTTGAAACTCCTCAAACTCTTATAATAAAAATAATCATAATTCACCAATAAAAAAAAGCCAGCATTGTACTATAAACGAAGTTTGCACTAAACGATCACAATTATACATTAAATAATTTTCATTGCATATATTTTATAGTTCTGAAACGTATTCCCGCATAAATATTGACAAATCAATCAAGTATCGGGGAAAACCAACACACGCGACTGTTTAAGAGTAACATCGAATGCTTCACGCGATAAGGTTTCATAAAATGTCGACTCATGACGAAATAGTATCGTACGCTGAAGAAAAAACATATTCCACAAGATCACTCATTTACAATTAACGAACTTACTATCTCATCGGGAGAGAGAATGCCGAATTGGACCCTTTTTACGGTTCGCAGAGGCGCTTTGGAGTCGGACGTGGCCATTTTGCAACGAGCACGTACTGCTTCTCCCGCGGCCTTCTGCGTCGCGACTCCCTCTAACCGTTCTTTCCCGATGGAAGCATCTCCCTCCCCTGACAGTTCGGTTTGCTGTTACCTTCCATCCAATTTATCCTTGTGTTCCTAAACGTATTATAATTATACCTTAAAAAGCTCCATTTACAATGTTAGTTTAGATATTCCTGTGGACAGAGTTAGAGGAATGTCATTTAAATTTTGATTGTACAAAAAATGTTATGGTGCAATTCGTTTAACATTTTCAACATGATTATTAGAAAATATGGAAGATGATTTCTACGTATCTTTTATGTGTAATGTAGTAAAGTTTTCATGAGAACTAAAGTAATCTTATTGGCTGAAACAAACACGGTCGTATTCAATGAGGTAAGCGAGCATAAAATGTTCTATGTTTGCCGTCCGTCGCCATTGAATAATAAACATCAATGTCCGTTCATGTTGTTGAATAATGATTGACTAATTGCGACTTCCATTGACGTAGACGCATCGTTTTATTGTGAATTTCATTGCGAATGTGAGGTGTAACATAAAATAAATTAAAATGGCTACTTCCAAAACAACAAATACGTATAATAGACAAAATTGGGAAGATGCTGTAAGTAAAATCGAATTTATAAGTATTTAATAAATATAACAATTCAATAAAATCGAGTATTTATTTATATTTTCTTTTAGGAATTTCCAATATTATGTCAGACTTGTTTAGGTGACAATCCATATATTCGAATGGTAAGTTAATTTTACGAAAATATACTCTACTGATTTTTGTTAGAAAAAATTTTCTGTTAATTAATTTTTAAACAATGTTTGTATTTACAGACAAAGGAAAGGTATGGAAAAGAATGTAAAATATGCTTGCGTCCATTTACAGTATTCAGGTGGTGTCCTGGTGCAAGGATGCGTTTCAAAAAGACAGAAGTTTGTCAAACTTGTAGTCGCTTAAAAAATGTGTGTCAAACATGTTTACTTGATTTAGAGTATGGTCTACCAATTCAAGTGCGTGATGCAGCACTTAAAATCAAAGATGATTTGCCTAGATCAGATGTGAACAAAGAATATTATGTACAAAATATAGACAGTGAAATTGGTAAAATAGATCCTACATCACCAGCAGGTGCTGTTGGTAAATCTGCAGCAGCAAGTGATCTGCTAATGAAACTGGCACGAACAAGTCCCTATTATAAAAGAAACAGACCACACATTTGCTCCTTTTGGGTTAAAGGAGAGTGTAAAAGAGGAGAAGAATGTCCATACCGTCATGAGAAACCTACTGATCCTGATGATCCTCTAGCTGACCAAAATATTAAAGACCGTTATTATGGAGTAAATGATCCTGTTGCTGACAAACTAATGCGCAGAGCTGCAGCTATGCCGAAATTAGATCCACCAGAGGATAAATCTATTACAACTCTATATGTTGGTAACTTAGGAGATGTTTTAACAGAAAAACAATTGCGTGATCATTTCTATCAATATGGAGAAATACGTTCAGTGACCATGGTTCCTCGACAACAGTGTGCCTTTATTCAGTACACACAGAGAAGCGCTGCCGAAGCAGGTGCAGAAAGAACGTTTAATAAACTAATATTAGGAGGTCGAAGATTAACGATTAAATGGGGCCGTTCGCAAGGAAGACAAACTGTATCTGCAGCAGAAGCAACTAGAGAAATTTTAGAGCCTGTACCAGGTTTGCCTGGTGCTCTACCACCACCCCCAGAAAGTATGGGAAACAATTTTTTCAATTTACAAACTACACCTGGTATGATGCCACCAATGATGATCCCACCTCCCCCAGTTGCTCCTCAATTTATGTTCCCACCTCAAATGGCAGCAGCCACTGCAACACCAATATTCCCTCCAGGAACAACTCCAATACATTACCCAAGTCAAGATCCATCAAGAATGGGTGCATCTCAAGGTATAGGAAAGCCTTGGCCAGAAGAATAATAATAACAATGTCCAAATTTTTATTAAATGTAATTATAACAAAAAATTTATAAAAAAATAAATATATATCTTTTTTTTTGTTTATACTATTTGTTGTATCACAGCTGCTATTTTCCTAAATGAGTATAATCATTTCCATACGTAATTCAATCTTACCAAGTATTTTCCATAAATCTTTGAACCATATGGTTCATTAGAATAGCCTTTACAGTGGTGAACAGTCGCTAATTTCAATAAGACCTTAAGAATGTGGTAATAAAGGCGCCATCTACTGTGATAATGGACGAACATTCTTAACAGCCAGCGCGTATTAGCGGCCGCTGTGAGTGTCATCATCGTATTTTAATACGTGTCCACTGGTGCCTGTCCGTCCGGTGTTTCTGCTACGTAGCTCCTGTTCTGTGAATCTATGGAGTGTTTTTATTGTCAGATATCTTTGAATTTTTGTCTGTGTTAGCATAAGGCGCCTAGTGCGCCTTCCCGTCACGATGAACATGTGTCGGGCTCGATTGTTATTCCACTTTCTGGCGCTTAGCCTACTCCCCTTTGCCCGTCCCGACGAGCACAATCACGTCGTAAGTATTCAGAATTGACATATTTCTGAAATGTCAAAGTTTTAAGTCCATCATACATGTATTTCTGCAGAATTTATAACGCATATGATTTATTTTCTCTTGTTGCAATTCGTTTCTTCGTTATCTTCTTGCAGAGTCAATGTGTAATCATGGATTTGTAAATTCTTATTTACACTGTTTTCTTTAAACAGACCACTCTTACTTGTTTTTCAGTTTAAAACATTATTGTGCAGTTATGTATTTTTTGATAGGTAACCTTTAATTGTTTGTTAAAATTTGATTTTGCTATGATGTGTTACACTTGTTAGTTATATTTTATTATGTGCATAATTATTTATATCAGGAATCTACTAACCATTGTTTTCTTTCATTAGTATGAAGATAATGATGAAGTTGTACTGTGGATGAGTACAGTTGGACCATATCACAATCGACAAGAAACTTATTCTTATTACTCATTACCTTTTTGTATGGGCACAAAAGATGTCATTAATCATTACCATGAAACCTTTTCTGAAGCATTACAAGGCATCGAACTCAAATTTAGTGGCCTGGAAATTGAATTCAAAGGTATTTTATAGTTTTATTAATTGATAATGAATATTATTAGGTATTTATGTAGATCACAATGCTATATGCTTGGTTTCTTTATAGCTGATGTTACAAAGGTGGAGTATTGTCAGATAAAGTTAACAGAAGAAAGTGAGAAAGCTTTTGTATATGCAGTAAAGAATCAATATTGGTATAAGATGTATATGGATGATCTACCAATATGGGGTATAGCTATTATTTTCTTATTGCAATATTTTAATGTTTCTTCTATTATAATAATTGATTGTTATACAATAATTAGGTGTTGTGGGAGAGCCAGAAGAAAATAATGGAGTTGTATCTTATTATATTTGGACACACAAGAAGTTTGATATAGGATACAATGGAAAACAGATAGTTGATGTAAATTTGACCAGTGAAAATAAAGTAAAATTAGTGCAGGGTGCAGCTATCTCTTTCAGTTATGAAGTCAATTGGAAGAAGAGTAATGTTAAATTTGAAGATAGGTTTGATAAATATCTGGATCCCAATTTCTTCCAACATAGGGTAAGTGTAATTATTTCATAGATCCAAATGAAACACTATATATTCTACTCTACTCTACTCTACTATAACACTATATGTAATAAGGATTGTTATTCTTTCTTTCTTTTAGATTCATTGGTTCAGTATCTTTAACAGTTTTATGATGGTCATTTTCCTTGTTGGACTTGTTTCAATGATTTTAATGCGTACATTGAGGAAAGACTATGCTAGATATAGTAGAGATGAAGAAATGGATGATATGGAACGAGATCTAGGTGATGAATATGGATGGAAACAAGTTCATGGAGATGTATTTAGACCAGCTAGTCATGCAATGCTTTTCTCAGCTCTTATAGGAGCAGGTTATCAGGTAATTATTTTAATAATTATACATTTACAAAATTAATATTAATAAATACATATACTTATTTCAGGTCACTGTGGTAGTACTTAATGTTATTATTTTTGCTATCCTTGGAGAGCTTTATACGGAAAGAGGATCAATGTTATCCACAGCAATTTTTGTATACGCTTTCACGTCACCTATAAATGGTTACGCTGGAGGTGGTTTGTACGCACGTATGGGAGGTCGTATTTGGATCAAGCAAATGATCCTCAGTGCCTTCATGTTACCTCTTATCGTCTGTGGCACTGCATTTTTCATTAACTTCATTGCAATGTATTATCATGCTAGCCGTGCTATACCATTTGGTTCCATGGTAAATACCAATTATACAGTACATCTTCATTTATACCAGTATACTTTTCTTCAGGGTAATAACAAAAGTACTTTATTTTTAGGTGGCAGTGACGTTCATTTGCATATTTGTTATATTGCCATTAACATTAGTTGGAACCATATTAGGCCGCAATTTAGCTGGAACACCGGACGCACCATGTAGGGTTAATGCAGTACCGCGACCTATTCCTGAAAAGAAATGGTTTATGGAACCACTAGTTATCATAATGCTTGGTGGTATCTTGCCTTTTGGATCAATATTCATTGAAATGTAAGTTTCATTTACATACATGGTAAAACTATAAAGTATATAAAATTATGTTTCATTTGTTCAGGTACTTCATTTTTACCTCATTTTGGGCATACAAAATCTACTACGTGTATGGATTTATGTTACTAGTATTCGTTATTCTAATGATAGTGACCGTATGTGTTACTATCGTATGTACATACTTTTTGCTGAACGCTGAAGATTACCGATGGTGAGTATTATCACTTCAATTAATTAGTTATGAATATTATCCAATTATGTTCATTTTTTAATCCATCTAAATGTTATTATTGTACAGGCAGTGGACAAGTTTCTTAGCTGCAGCTTCAACTGCTGGATACGTTTACATATATTCCTTTTACTATTTCTTCTTTAAAACTAAGTAAGTTCACATCATGCTTGATTAAGGTAAATGTAAATTTCTGAAAAAATATAATTGAGTCGTGTTTTATGTTTCAGAATGTACGGTCTCTTCCAAACAGCATTTTACTTTGGTTACATGGCATTGTTCAGCCTCGCCTTAGGTATAATGTGTGGAACAGTCGGTTACGTTGGTACTAATGCATTTGTACGGAAGATCTATTCCACAGTTAAAATAGACTAAAGCACAATTCTAGTGTAACGTCTACAATCGTGGATTAAAATTAAGAACATTCAGAGTGATGCCTACTGGTCTGTATGAAGTAGAACTTCTTCCTTCGATAGTTTTAAATTATTTGTGTTCATTATGACATGTAGGTGCAAGTTATGAAAACGACTTCTCCACCTTGTATTAATACCATATTTATAAAGTACAGTCTGGTTATTTAAAAAGAAATTTTCTCAAAATATTTAACAAATACTCGATCACATATTCATACAAAAATATAACATTATATTGATTTTAAGCAAAATGTTTAACTTATTCACTGTAATTTAGTTTTCGAAGGTGGGTCCTGCGCCAAACAGTATGGAACATTGAAACGACGAACTGTTCGTCAATTATTCAAACAGTCACATATATTATTCGTCTCATGAGTCACAGTTCGGTATTATGCGATACACATGTTCCGATAATTATGTAATTTTAGAATTAATATTTTACTCGTAACAACTGACTACTTAATGTTGCTCAATTTTGCTGGATTTTACGGAAACTTGCTGATCCTCTTGTTTTCATCATTTATAGAAAGCTTTTTAATTATTTTGAAGATTTCAATGCTTCCTTCAGAAGATATATTAACAGAAATAAATATCTAATTTCTTCGTGAATATATCGACATTCCAAAGCACCAGCGGATGCCAGTAATAGCAATTGCAAACGTATAAAAATCGAAACTAAACAAGTGGAGAAAAAATACAAATTAATACGCATAAATTGTACAGTATAAATTTTCGATGCAATTTATTCACGATGTAAGCGATACTTCAGTTAGAAACAGTGCCTCAGTTGTGTGACTCTGAATTGAAATTTTAGTCATGTAATGCTTGACTACCGATGATTTAAGTAAAGTTAATTTATAGATAAGCTAGGTTGTAAAACGAAGTAAGAATGTGAATAATAAGGAAGTTTTTTTACCATTGGCCGCGTACTACAAAACACAAGATTTTTTTTAATGTGGATATTCGTTATTGTAAATTGTGAGTGCATTGGTAAAATGTAAAGTATCGTGAGTCTATAACCGATGATAAGACGATATTTTCAATTGTGATCCTCTTCGCGCAGCTAAACATCTAACTACACATTTAATCGCTGCTGAAGAAAATTAAACCGAAGGGGATTGGAATTTGGGAATCATCGGTGAATGTGTTTATCCTACATGCGACATACTGTCGAACGACGAATATCAGCGAGAATATTTGAATGGACATACGGTTTGTTGTTAGACGTAGCAGTTCTAAGAAATATAAAATTTCCACATACAATAAATACAGTTTACTTTATTTCTTGTTGTAATCATGATCCCAATTTTCAAATTTTGTTAGATTTTATTTTTTCGTTTAACGAAATGTATTTACACCGAATAAGAAAGCACTATTTACATTTCGAGAAAGTACTACGTTACTCGAATGGTATTTTATATAGAGTACTTTATTATTGGTACTTAATTGACTGGAAATTAAATAATAAAGTAATAAAATAGTATGTATTTAATTGGAAGAATGAAAGTATTATATGGTTTTGTAAAAAAATACAATTATTAAATTGACTTCAGTGGTGCCAGTGTGGCACTAAAAGCTGCTCCGTCGTACACTGCGAGGTATTCACGTGTCAAAGCGCACACGTCGACGCAGTTTGCGAGACAGCGGACTGTACACACCTGTTTATCGCTCCGAAGACTTTACATATTGAAGCGGACATACAGTTACAGAAGTAGTGTTTAGATAAGTAATAACTCTGTTTGAAATACTATCGAAGTAGTTTTGTTATACTAAAAAAAAACAATAGAAATGGCACCAAAACAAAGAATGCGTATCGCTAATGAAAGAGCCACAAAAAACATCACCCTTCGTGGAAACGTTCCGAAGTCGTCGGTATGGTATTCTGTTTACTATTCAATAAAATTTATTTAAGTCATTACTACTATAACGGAACGATTAAAATATATTTGTTACATAAAAATAAATAATTGTCGGTTTAAATTTTGAGGTTATAAATTGTAATTATATTGACAATTTTAATTTATATGTAATGACATTTCTGACAGTATTACTGCAATACGTTTTTAGTTTTTAACAGTATAAATTTCAATAAACATTATTATTTATTGAAAATATCAGTTTAATAAATTAATAATTGTTCCATATGCAACAACTATCACATCTGTTATTTAAATGATTTATATTTCTCTGTGTAATAGTAAATATATGTTGTAAAATTGTATCAATATTTTTTTATTATTAATTTAAGTTCTTGATAATTACATGAAATTTATATATGGTATGTATTAATAATGTACTTTATACATTATAGAAACCACAAGATGATGGATCTCCAGTTGGACCTTGTCTATTAGCTCTCTTCCTCTTTGTTGTATGTGGTTCTGGTAAGTTTAAATATTGATTATAAATTTTTAAATAAATGTGAAACAAAATATTTTTTGTATTTATGTAAAATAAAATTTTATATTTTCCAGCTGTATTCCAAATAATTCAGAGTATTAGAATGGCTTAAGAAAACTGAGAGCATGAAGTTAAGAAAATGTTGCTGTTAATGTTAATATAAAAATGTCTACATCTTATTGGTACACAAACGAGATTAACAGACTGTTTTATTCATATTGTAAAAACATGTAGACATGGCAATGATATTGACACAATACTGAATTCAAATTTTCACTAAACAATCTCCTTTTTTTGCTACAACTTGGATTATTTATAAAAATTAGCATTTATAAACGTTTTACTTAATTGCATATGTATCAGTGAAAGAAGATTACATTCGATGTATTTTATTCAGAAATTGCAAACAAAAGCTTACATACTGAATGTGATTTACCTTTGTTTTCTTGCCTCACATAGCGATTTTTATTCCCAATACCATAAGAAGCCTAAATTCTTTCAT